TGCCTTGACTGAAATAGGGATCAGAATCCCAGTGCCTTGACTGGAATAGGGGTCAGAATCCCAGTGCCTTGACTGGAGTAGGGATTGGACTCCCTTGTGCCTTGACTGGAATAGGGATTGGAATCATAGTGCCTTGACTGGAGTAGGGATTGGAATCCCAGTGCCTTGACTGGAATAGGGATTGTACAGCATCTGAGCCACATCTGTGACAACAGCGTGGGATTATAGATAACAATAGTCTAGGATCAAGTTCCCTCCTGGCTTTCCTGTCAGGAAAATGACAAACACTCACTGTGGACTGCTGCTCTATCATTCTGTACAGGAAACTCCACAAACCTCTCCTGCCGAAAACAAATCCAGTGCGCAGCATGAAAGCGCTTACAGGGAATATTCCTGACAAACACAAAAACGTGCACTGATGGACAGCGCAGGGGCGCCGAATTTCTCCGGGGCTCCCTCTGAATGTGGAAAACGAGAGAGGGACACGTGCAGCGCGAGATGAAAGAAGAAGAATCTGCTGAAGACCCTGGGGCGGAAAAATGTGCTGTGCACGCAAATGCGACAGGGGCACATGTGCGTGTGCGCTTGAACAGCGAGGGACTGCTCACCAGCGTCCTGGGATCCCTCTCTTTTGGCAGGAGCTTTCTCCTGTAGACTTTGTGTTTTAGAAGCCGCCACGTCTTCTGCCTGCGACCCCAGGGACCCCCAGCCAGAGTGCTGACACACCACCGCGTGGAAAGACCACAACAACATGCGAGCCCTAAACCCACTGCTAATTTGAACGGGTTCTTGAGCTGGCGAGGATGGCCGGTATCTCAAAGGATAATGTGGGATTAGGCCTGACAGGGAGGACAGGGCTGCAGCAGCAGTCGAGAGGCGACAGGAACATGGGGTATAAACAGTCAAGTGCAGGGGTAGTGGTTTTGACTGGGGCTACTGTGCATCCTGGTGCACTGCAATAGGTCCCTGACTGGGCTAAAGGATGGGGTCAGGTTTCAGGGATATGCTGAGCATACGAGCTATGAATAGAAAGGGAACCCCAGACTCTGTGCACAATTAGAAATATCTGTAGGTACAACACTGTGCAAAAGCCTCAGTCTTACTGCCCTGTGCTGCTCTTTTAACTCAGTGACCCCCTGTTTATACAGGAACACCAGTCTGTGCTGATCTTGCACTGAGACTGGAGACTGTCTGTGCTGAGCTGACAGATCTGTGGGCTCTGGTACACAGACCGGTCTTCAGCTCTGTGGGTGTGTGGAGGAACAGCTGATGTTAGAGTTGAGAAATAATCTGACAGGGAGTTGATCAGCTCTGATTGAGAAATGACAAGGATGAGCTGTCACAACACCTCATGCTGACTTCTGTACAGTTTACTTTGAGCTGTTTTGGTCATGTTTGTGAAGATTGTGAGCGTAGATTAATGATAAAAACTAAACGACTAGATGGGTTTCTTCTCTCCCAAACTAAGTCTTATCAATAACAGTAAAAGTTAAGAAAACACTGGCAGAGGGAAACTGATAACTGGTAACAAACACTGCAACTCCTGATCGTGTCTCAGGTGTCTCAGACTGGGGCAGTACAGCGTACTGAGTGAACCAGCCCTGCTCATAGAGGCCCAGGCATGCAAAATATCTGAGAATGTTTTAAAGGGGGTTGTCTCGCATTCTCTCTCTGGGGGATCACTCTGTCAGATCATCTCCCTTGCTTCAGAGCCGGGGTGCAAGTCTGGACGTCACAGTTGGCATCCGCCCAATACGGGAAGACTGATCGCGAGAAAGACGAGTTTGAGTCCCAAAACCCTGATGGGCAAAGGAGAGTCAAGCGATGATGACCGCGATATGAAATTCCTGTCCTGCTGTGGAATTTGGAATGGGCGCACCGCGTGAAGGAGGGAGTTCTCGGAGCCCTGCCTGCTAACAAATAAAAACTGATGACTGCTGAGAGTGCTCGGCACAGAGGGATTACCGCGGATACTTCTTTGTAGCAGAAGGGATTTATTGAGTGTGGCTGACTTTGACTGTGCGCAACAAAGGAATCTTAAGGGCTCTCTCAGTCAATTTAATGCATCTACTGTATGAGAAAATCTGTAATGTATTAACTGAAAAAAAAAAACTATGGAGAAAAAATAAATCCTGTAACAAATAAAGAGGTGAGACAGCTTCTGGGGTCCCTCTGCTGCGCACTCGCAGTGTCTGGAGCAACTGAGCTCAGATCACGCAGAGCAGTCATTTTCATGCGGTGGTTTTTTTTTGTGGGTGATGTTGATCAGCACTTCCTGGCGGTGTTTCCCGAATCCAGCTATGTGTTTTCACACCTTCTGACAGCTGGCTCATCCTGCTGTGCCAGTTCCTCAAGAGTGTCGGGAAGGAGGAGGAGGGGCGACACGTCCCAGGTTCCTCAGACAGGTTGGGGAAAAAGCTCCGTCAGCCGGCTTGTATACTTCCTGATTCCGTGCCATGCTTCTTCTGAGGTGCTGCTCCCACTCAGATCTCAACATTCCCACTCAAGATGTTGGTTTCTGTGAGCCGCTCGGCTGGGGGAAGGGACGCCCCACTGCGCCTGTTTCAATCGGGATATCATGGCTGTTACACAAAGACATTACTCTCAGGAGTGCACAAACGCCGCACACTGAAGTGTTGCATTGTAGTGTTGGTCAGTCCCATTTCCAAGTCTCTTGAAAGACTCTTTAAATCACCAGCACCTTACAATCTGGGAAAAGCCGTGAAAGTGGACCACTTAAACCCAACGACTCACAGTCATCCAGATCCAGAACTGGATCACTCTGAAGTGAAGGGCAACCGAGGCTCACGAGAAGAAGGTGTGTGTGTTTTTAAAAGACGGTCTTCCAGCTGATTAATGACAGCGTGCAGCTAATTATGTCTGACATCACACTTCGGGAACACAGGCATTCCAACAGAAAGTCCACCATGTTTAAAGGGAGTTTGTCTGTGTGTGAAAATGGAGTTCAGATAGACGGCCTTTCGATCAGCTCTTGGCAGCGGCGCACCCTGGCTGACACTGTTCCACATTCCTCCCTCTGTGTGCGTTGACACACGTCAACAGCGCTCACACTCCGCATGACTCATGGGTACACGACGAGCCCTGAACAACGACCCCGACACCTGTGTGAGACTCTTTCCCGGTCGAATCATGCCGGGGGGGGTGCAGGAGGTTTGTGGCCCACGTCACGACCCAGCTGGACGGATTCTGATCGAGAACCGGGGTCCACTGGTTGATGCTGTGGGCTTGTAGAAGCTGGGAAGGGATGTTGATCCCTGTCATGTTATTTCTTGTGGACCTACCTTGGGCTAATCTATCCATCCAGTTTCTATCCGTGTGATCCAATTCAGGGTAGAGGGGGAGCTGCAGCTCATCCTGGCCAGCAACGGGCACAAGGCAGGGTACACCCCGGACTGGACGTCCATCGCAAGGCACGCACACAGACAATCACACCAGGGCCAATTGTCCCAGAAGCTATTCAACCTGCCAGCATGTTTATGGACTGTGGGAGGAAACCGGAGCAGCCGGAGGACACCCACATAAACACAGGGAGAACATGCAGGCTCCACACGGACAGACGCCCCAGATGCGTGTTGTAGAGCTGGCAGGGATGGCAATGATCAAAGCAAGGTAAGGAACGGCCTGTGAGTACAGTTTGGAGCTCTGACCAAACTCTTCCCAGAAGGGGAAGGAAATCGCAGGGAAGAGCTGGCTCTCCAGAATCACGCTTTTTCCTGCAGAATCTCCGGATTCAATCCGTCTTGGCAGTAACAGAGCTGCCCGAGTCTTGTTTCGCCACCACAGTCTCAAGCCATTGGCTGGAAGCCGTTGGATGTTTTTCAACGAGGATCGTGCCCAGAAACATGTTAAAGCAGCACGACTCCTGGAATTTGGGGTCAGCACAGGTAGGAGCAGGGATAACCGGGACTTTACTGGACTGGAATTTCACAAGGAGATCAAACACCCCTAGCAGTCACAACAGCAAAGCGAAATCCCTGAATAAAATCCGAGCAATTCCCCACACAAGCCTGACACGGCAGGAATTCCTCTGAGCATTTCGGGAAATCAGAGAAATTCAGACAGGCCCAGGTGATCGTTCTCACAGCTTTTGCAATCTCCG